AAGAGCAGCAGCTCCCCTTTTGAAATGAGCATTTCAAGAAGAGCTCCAGTGCTGGGGAGGAATTACAGAGCTGGGAGAGTGGGTGTTCTTGATGGCTGAGTGCCTCAGAATCCAGGCTATGAAGACTAGACTTGATCCTGATAGGCAGGATTGAGAGGGCTTGAAGGGTGACGTAGCAGAACCAGAGGCTTAGGACAGTTGTTGAAGACAGTGGCATGGAGAGTATTCAACAAGAAGCCTGGATTCAAGTCCTCTAGCTACTTTCTTCACTAACTGGGTGACCTTAAGTAAGTCACTTATCTTTGCTCACCCTCAGCTTTTTCCTCTGTAAAATGGGACTAACAATGTCAGGATCAAGGCTATAAACTGGCTTTGTTCACTAAAATCCTGTGCAAATGTGAGGCATAGTAATAGAAAAGGGGAAAGAGTTAGGACCAAGGACTGGGTGTGACTGGCTCAGGGTGACATATTCTCACTATGGAAATCAGCACCCAAGGCATCTCTATGCATAGGTTTTTGGAGTCAAACAAACCTGGCTCTGGTTCTGGCTTTGCTCTATTAACCGGTTATTTTGCCTCTCTGTGAGCCTCTGTGTCCCTATCTAAAATACTTCCTCATAGGGCTATTGTGAGGGTTAAATAAGGTGAGGTGTATAAAATCTCTGACACGTCATTGGCACTCAGTAATTAGAGGCTATTCTTACTGGGATGGTGCTCTGGAAGTCTTATTTACCTAAAGTTCAGGTAGAGGTACCTTTTAGGGCTGTGGTTCTCAGCCTGTGGGTCGCGACCCCTTTGGGGGTCGAACAAGCCTTTCATAGGGGTCGCCTAAGGCCATCGGAAAACAAAAAGATATTTACAGTACGATTCATAACAGTAGCAAAATTACAGTTATAGAGTAGCAACGAAAATAATTTTATGGTTGGGGGTCACCACAACATGAGGAACTGTATTAAGGGGTCGCGGCATTAGGAAGGTTGAGAACTGCTGTTTTAGGGCTTCTCTGCCTTTACAAAGCCCTGTCACTTCACCATGTCCAGGCTTGGCTCTTGTCTTCCAAAATATAGTTTCCATCTGAAATGTTTCAACTAGGGAAAGTGATTTGTTTTTGCCAAATTTCTTCTGTTCTTATTAGCCTGGAGAAGTTAGCCCCATCCCTGTGTGCTGTAAATTGCATTTCAAAGCCTGTGTCCCTGGTAGGTTTTAATTAGCTTAAGGGCCCAGCTTTTATGCAGCAATTGTTTCTTCAGCCAGTAAAGGTGAAGGCACTTAATTGGGAGCCAGTACCTGGTTTTCTCAAACATAACATATCTAGACTGCCCCCTCCCAGCTCCTCATTGTCCTAGGGGCTTGTCTCTTAACCAGCCCAAAAGGAAAAATGGAATATAAGGACCCCAGACTTAGAGTCAGAGGACCCGTGGGGTGCTTGGCTCTCCTACTCACTGGCTATGGCATCCTGGCCAAGTTCATTCCCCTTCATTCCTCAGAGTGGGACATATAAGCTCCATGCCCACTCAGGTCTCTGCTAATCTGACATTGCAGAAGTCGCTGGGAACAAGTCTGGTTCTTTTTCTCCCGCCACTTCCTTCCCCTCCCCAGCACTGCCACCAAAAACCTTCCCTCTACCCACCTATCCTTAGCTCATTACTAAGCTTGGGGCCTCTGGGGGCTGCAGACACCTTGCTCTCAATTACACAGCTAATTTGTGAGGCAGAGCTTAGCCCAGGGGGGAAAATAGCTTATCAAGTCAAGCAGCTTCTGCTGAATAGAATGTCAGTATTTTCTAGGGCTCCCATTCTAGGCTAGGGGGAAGCCTGGAAGAGTCAGAAAAGAGTTATGTTAGAAGGATTGAGTTGGGGATGATTGGTCTGTGGAGTAGGATGTTTGGCTCAGAGACCAGAAAATAGTGCCTGGGACCTCAGCCCCCAGTGGTCTCCCCCCACTTAAGGCAGGGCCACAGCTAGCCCTTCTCACCACTTCTTGGGACATTAGCCTCACTCTGCCTCCCTAGCATTTATTGAGCACTTACTATGCCCCAGATTTTGTCAGGCCTGTCTCTAACACTTGCAAGGCAGAGCAAGAATACAGATGGGGGGGCCCCAGTACCATATGTCTAAATATTTGAAAGTTATAAGTGAAGCTAACAAATTATGTTCATAACAACCTGGACCATGTCTGAATTTAGAATTCTTGACTCTTAGCGATTCTGTACCTGAGTCCAGCAGTTCCCAGAGAGCTAGTCTGGGCATGATTCCTGTCCATTTCCCACCCCCAACACCATCCCTCCCTTTGAGGAGCTTCATGGACATCTGTGTAGACACTGAACGTTTCCATACCCCCACAGATTGCTATCCCCTTTGGCTTAGGATGTACACACAACAGCAGCATAGCCTGCCTCCAAGGAGTGTGCAGACCTTGAAAGCAGATTGGAGGCTGTTTAGATGGAGTAGTTCCGGGGTTGGGTGCCTGGAGCATACTTCAGGTGGACATTTCTCCTCGGCTCTGCAGATTCCTTACCTAGAGCAGCCACATGCATACACTTCCCAGATCTTTTCTCTGCAGATCAGAAAGCTGACCTCCACATGATATGGCTTCTGGCTGCCTCTCCTTGGTATTGTTCAGAATGTGCTCCTCATCTAGAATGACCCTCATCTAGAATGGGCCCACAAATGGCAGTGTTCGTAGAACAGAAAGAGAGGTGCAACATGTCAAGAGTAATTATTAGATCTTGTAAAGAGCTTCAGAGCTTGCAGAGCCCTTTTATGTACATTGTCCAAACCCCAGATGATGAGAGAAAAGACTGGGTGGGGCCAAAGCCAAAGGACTTTGCTTACCAGCCAAGGAGTAAGTGCTGATCCCATTATAGTACCAAACACAAGTGCTCAGCAAATGCTTCCTGCTCAGTGGTATTCTAGGCTGTTGGCAGAGGTCTAAGGGAACCCAGCAACTGTCATGTGCCTCTACCAGATCAGTGGCAGAGCCAGCAGTCATCAGCAGATCTCTGAAATGTAACTCCCCCATCTCCTCTTTATATCTTGGTCCACACCCCAGGCCTGGTTGGTTCCCTTCAGCCAAGGCTGGTAGCATCTCCCTGGACCAAAACTTCATGGCTTTGAGTTGAAGCAACCAGGAGAGTTCTCTGATGCCCATGGAGGAGCCCCACAAACTTCTTGTATACCCATGGGTGGACAAGGAATTAACCTTTGAGTGGCTTGTCATTCAGGTAGGAGAGGGATTGTCAGAGAGAGCTGAGAAACGGAGAGCCCAAGGGAATCCACAAATACCAATCATTTCCTGCTGTATATGGGCAGTGTATTTGGTGTTTTCATGTGTAATCTCTTTTTGTGTCCCTCACTGCTTAGTAAATGTTGATGATTGGATGCAAAGGCAAAATAAGTAACAAAAAAGAGTCTCTTACTTCCAGGCCAGTTCCAAAGCTGGTACCAGCCCCTTCATCAGTAGCAAGACCCACTCAGCCCCCTTCCTTTACCTAGGATGGCGCGTACTTGACCCCACTATATCCATGGAGCCTGCTGCAAAGCCCACCCTACAAGGAGGTTCTTCCTCAGAATCATGCTCAGGTCCAGCCTATGTTCCTTTGCAAATAGTGCCATCTGCTGACCAGAATGTGCCAGCTTCCAAGCTGGGAGAATTGTGGAGAAAAGGGTCTCTTACCCTAGTGGGACAAAAGATACAGGTTTTCCAGCTTATACTTAGTTCTTCTATATTTCATTTAAAAGAAGCCCCCTTTGCCTCAACATATTAGGTAAATAGGCAGGTATTTATGGTTAGCCTAAGCTGATGAGAGTTTTATACATACTGCTTGGGGCCTTTAGTACCTTCTGAAATAGCTCTAGTGTTGGGTATTGAGATAGGAGTGCTTCAAAAGGGAGTTGCAACCCATGCCAATGAGCAGAAGACAGGGCCAGGAAGTGTAAACGTTAGGCCTTTCCTGCTGAAATCGAGCCTCTTTTTCCCTTTCCCTGTGGAGCCTGTGCCCAAATGTAACATCCACAGAGATGGGTATGAAAGAATTATACAGCCCTTTGGTGTAAAAGACATTGCCAGAATGAACAGAGCAAAGAGTAGGTCCAGTATCATCTTTAAGCAAAAACAACAAAATTTGAATGAGTAGGTATAAAAATAGGTAACTCTTAAAAATTAATTTATTTAAAAATAATTCTCAGATAAATATGCTGACTTAACTCTAGTATTTAAATTGGCTTTAGATCTGGGAAGGAGAGTGATAAATTTGAATGAAATGGGCTTTAGGGACTAACTGACCTGAGTTTGAATGCCCATTCCTGGCAAGTTAATGAACTAGTTGAAGTCTGTTTCTGGTAAAATATGAATGATAACAATAATAATACTCATGGGGTCTTGAGATTATTCAATATTGCATGCTACCCTTAGCCCACACTGAGTGTTCAGTGAGGCTTATTTTCAAAATGGCGGGCACCAATAAAGACAGCCATAGCTAGGTCCACGCCTGGCTTAGACTGAGCAATTTTCATAATATGGTATTATTCTAGAGCAAGCATTACTTGCAACTACCATGTGACTTTTTTTTTTTTTGCCATGGTTCTACATTAAAGAAACAGAAGAAAAGCTGTGGAAGGTCTTCAAATATAGATGCTACATTGGGTAACATTTGAGATGAGCATTAAAGATGGAATGGGTTTAAAATAATTGAAGTCAAGCAGACCAGGGTTCAAATCCCAGGTTTGCCATACACTAGCATTGTGACCTCTGAATGTGCATTCTCTCCCTTGTAAAATGTCCTGGTTCTGCTTGTAATTTCAGTACCAAATGAGGGAACATATGTAAAACACCTGGCACAACCTCAGCAGCCAATAAGATGAGCAAAAACAGGGAGCTGGATGCTGTGAGGGGGTGTGTGTAGGAAGACACAGAGCAATCCAGTTTAGCTAGGATGTGGGCCATGGGCAACCCTTAATCCCAACCTGGGAACACAGCCTCATGGTAGCTCTCTCACTTCAGGTGGGCACCATGTCCTTGAAGATTCAGACGAGCAACGTAACCAACAAGAATGACCCCAAGTCCATCAACTCTCGGGTCTTCATCGGAAACCTCAACACAGCTGTGGTGAAGAAGTCAGATGTGGAGACCATCTTCTCCAAGTATGGCCGTGTGGCCGGCTGTTCTGTGCACAAGGGCTATGCCTTTGTCCAGTATGCCAACGAGCGCCATGCCCGGGCAGCTGTGCTGGGAGAGAATGGGCGGGTGCTGGCCGGGCAGACCCTGGGTAAGCATCTCTCCACAGCCCTGCACTTGGTGCTCTCCTGAGCAGGTGCTGGCCTTCACCCTTCAGCTCCACTCCCTCTTAGTCCCTTTTCTGTTTCCTCCACCATTACCCGTTTGAGATGTTATAACTTAAATAGTTATAAATTATATTTAAGTTATAAGTTAAGTAGTTACAAATCAGTGCCTGTGGGGGAGAATTTTAGAAACTTCTGGAAAACACTTCTGTCCTGTCCCTGCTTTTGCAGTGACTTAATGACAAGCCTTATGGTTTCAGTTAAAATACAGATTCCCCAGAGAAAGGAAACAAAGTGGACTAGCACAGCCTATTACATTGGTCTACAAATGGCTTAGGTTAGCACCCTTTCTGAGACCAGGAGGAGGGACTGGGAACACAAGGTGAAACAAGCAGGTGCCCTTGGCCTTGGTATTTTATACATGTGATGTGGCTGTGCTGGTGGTCTACCTTGGAGTATGTACAGTGTTTGTGTATGTGCACATACTTCTGTGTATATGTATAGGTTTCAGAAGGGATACCTGTATATGTATTCCTGAGTATGTGGTATGTGGATGTAACTGAACTTAATGGAGAATCTGTGTACATATACCTTAGTATGTATATATGTAGTGTGTGTGTGTGTCGTAATATATTTGTGTAAGCAGATATACATATATTCATTTACCAAATATCATGTGCTAAGTACACTCTAGGCATAAAGATGTTTGATAGAATGTTTGTGTGAATGTGCATTGGCTCATTTGCATACGGGCAGTTAAGTATATGATGTCGGAACCAAGTCAGAGTGTACTTGAGAGTATATGTTAGCTGTGTGTGTGGCCTTATTACCTGGATATGTGACCTTGCATGTGAGGGTGTGTTGTCTGTGTGTTTATATGAGTATACTTAAGAATACATATGTGTAATGTGATATACATGGCGTATGTGTGAGTGATACGTTTGTGAGCATGCATGCGTCTGAATGTATATGAATATGTGAACAGGCATATCCATGCAATGTGTGGGTATGTGTCTAATGTGTGAAGACCACTGTTGGCCATGTTAGTGAGTAAAGTCCATCATAGAAGTATATAAATTGCTGCACACGTGCATGTGGGTGATATGTGTATGGGCACCCTGCTGTCGGGCCAGCATTTGACTCTGCCTCCTTCCTCCACACAGACATCAACATGGCTGGTGAGCCCAAGCCCAACAGACCCAAGGGGCTAAAGAGAGCAGCATCTGCCATTTACAGGTGGGGCGCTCTGTCTTGTCTGTCCCTCTCTGGGTGGGATCGGTCCCTCTTTCCACAGAGGGAGTAAACTGGTGATGACAGCATGCTGAGCCTAGAATTTGGGGAGGCATTTGGAGATGAGGGCCTGTGGAGAGTGGGCTTGAGCGGCTGTCCCTAAGCCCCGGCCCTCTCCCCTTTGTTTCCCCAGTGGCTACAGCTTTGACTATGATTACTACCGGGACGACTTCTATGACAGGTGAGCAGGGGAGGGGCGTGCCCAGGCATGAAACAGCCAAGCTGGAAGGGTCCTGAGAGATTGCTGGTGCAGCCCACTCAGTCATCTAACTGGGAACCTAAGCCCAGAGGTGCAGACAGGCATCTGCCCAAGGCTGCTTCACAAGTTGGTGGCAGAGCTGGGACTAGGGTCCAGTTCTGCAGGTGCCCAGGCTAGAGCTCCCCGCATCCCACACTGTCTCCCACCCTGACTGCCCTTCCTCCTCCTAATCCTGGGGTGAGGCCCAGTGGGACTGGACAGCCAAGGGACACATAAACGTAGCAAGTAGGAAGACAAAAACGGTACGAGGCTCGGTGCAGGGAGTTTGAGTTCTCATGCTTCTGCTGTTCGTCTTCTTACCTCTCGGAGGTACCCAGCCAGCTGGAAGGAACCTCAGAGCTCAGTCTGAGTCAATTGGTCTTATATTTATAGCCAAGAAGCCAGCAGCCCTTTAGAGGTTTAAATTAGTCCCTGGTAGGCTGTGGCCCACCCTCTATCCCCAAGCCTATGCAGATCTTAGCCTTGAAGCTTTGGGCTCCACTCCATGGCTCCAGCCACATTCTTGAGTGGAAATTATGGTGGGGGCTGGCTCAAAGTTCTCTCTTGCTTCCCTCCCTCCTGCATAGCCTGCCCTGGGCTGACCAAGAGGAATAGGACCTCTCCGAGCCTCAGTTTTTTCACCTGTGAATGGCTTCAGGAGAGGGAGCAGAGTAGTTGAAAGTGCCCCATCCTGGGAGTCAGAAAACCTGCGTGCTAATCTCAGCTCTGCCACTAAATGGATTGTGTGACTTTGGGCAAATACCCTCCCAGTCTGTGTAATGGGCTTGCACCAAATGATCCCTCAGGGCTCCTCCAGCTCTGGGATGCTGTGGTTCAGTGATTCTGACCAAGGCCAGAGCCGCCTCCTCCCCTTGGGGGCAGAAATGCAGTGTCTGGGACTGGGTCCATTCCCAGAGACTCTCCATCTCTAGCCATCACCACCCTAGGGCAGGGGCTCCCTGAACAAAGGAGTGCCAAGGCATGGGGCATTGAATTGCCCAGTGATGGCATGTTTCCTGGTTGTCATCAGGAAAGCAGTCTCACAGTGTACCCCTGAGGCTGCTGTTCCCTGCAGGAAGGTGGTAGCAGCAGATATGGTGGGAGAGACCCCTGCTCAGTCTACTGAGCTTCTGCCTGCAGGAAAAGAAGCCCTCCTGGAGAGGGCTGGGTGATGGCGTTGCAGGGCAGCATACCATCTGGGAGCCCGGGGATCTGATTGAGCTGCCCAACCTTGATACTCCACTAGGCCTCCTGCCCTCCATCTCTGAAATAGAGTAAGAAGGGTGGGGTAACTAAGGGGGCCCAGGAGGAGAAAATGGTCTTGGACTTCAGCCTCATGTTTCTGAGGTCATAGGTCCTTGAGTTGAGGGTCTCAGTACCCTGGCCTTTCATTGATCACACCACCTGCCATGTGTTTTTAACCAAGTTTTTTCATGATCTACCCTCACAGCAGCCTTGGCATGGGAGGAGGACACAGAATTTGGGATAGCCATCCTCATTAGGCAGATGGGAAAACAGGCTCAGGCAGCTTAGGGATTGGCTCTCTAGTTCCACACCTCTCTGTTCCCGGGTGGGAATTTGTGCTGCTTTAGGGAGATTTGCAAACTCTGACCAGAGGTTGGGGTGGCAGTTGACTGAGCAGAAGAGAAGTCAGGTAATAGAGTAGGCCTGGGTGTCATGGTGATCTAGGGAAGGCTCCTTTCTGGAGCTGGTCTCAGTTTACCCCTGTTGAAATGGGGCTATAACTATTACCACCTGCCATCTCATCTGCCCTTACCCAGCCTAGCTGGTAGGAAAGATGGATGTAGTGAGGATCCCAATAGCTCTTAGGGTCCTGAAAGCCCTTCCTCTTCACCTCCAGGGCTTGTTAGGAGCAAGCGAGGTGTGTAATGCAGGCCAGCCCTTCACCAGCCATACACATGTTGATCTAGAGTTGCAGTAACCCCTGGTCGCCACAAGCCATGCTGCAGCCTCTGGCCCATTTGCCCTCACAGGCTCTTCGACTATCGGGGACGCCTGTCACCCGTTCCAGTGCCCAGGGCTGTCCCTGTGAAGCGACCCCGGGTCACAGTCCCTTTGGTCCGACGTGTCAAAACCACCATACCTGTCAAGCTCTTTGCCCGCTCCACAGCCATCACCACCAGCTCAGCCAAGATCAAATGTGAGTGACTTATCTTCTTCCTAGATAATTTTATTTTGTCATTAGCAAAATAATAGAATTACATTTTTTTACATTGGAAAATAGATAAAGGAACAAATCTCCCACAGTTCTGCAGCTCTAATACAACCAAGTGAGTATTTTTGTGCATTTCTAAGAGGAAAAGGCTGACATTTGAGGAGGGGCTTGGGTTGGGCACAGAATCCAGTGCTGTGACATGGAGCCCAGTGAGGAAATGGTGTCATCTTCTAGTAAGGACAGGTCTATACAAGCCCGCTACTCCATATTCACTCTGGTGTGCACACACTGTGGTCAGGCACCCAGGAAATCTGATATATGACACCCACATTTACACACCTTGAAAGACAGACATACCACCCTGTATCACAAGCAAAGACACATGCTTGTGCAGGTGCACACATAGGTGCACACCACACACCTGCATTCTTATCCAGCCCCAGTCCCTTTCAGCATTGAGAGGTCGGGGGAAAGATCCATGTTCAGAAGGGTGGGGCTGGTCACTGTAGCAATGGCTTTTAGAAAGTTTCAGGGGAAGCCACAGGCAGCTCTGCCTTTTCCCTGGCCAGAAAAAAGCCCTGGACAAGGACAGTTTCTGCCACTGGCCTGTCTTCCTACTTGACAGAATGGGGCTAGGGTCTTATGTTAGTATTGAGCTCCCAGCCTCCAGGTGACAGCCCTGTACTCCCTCCACTCCCAGTAAAGAGCAGTGAACTGCAGACCATCAAGACAGAGCTGACGCAGATCAAGTCTAACATCGACGCCCTGCTGGGCCGCTTGGAACAGATTGCCGAGGAGCAGAAAGCCAACCCAGGTCAGCTTCCAACGGTCCTTAACGGTCCTTGCCCAGTTCCAATAACGAGCAGCCCGGGGCAAAGTGTGGGGAGGACAGTACCTGGGGCACAGAGGGCCTGTGGCCTCTAATCCCACTTGGGGCCACTGTTCTGAGACCTAACTTCCGCTAAGATGTTGCCCGGGGCAGCTGCACCAGGCTGAGTTTTGTTCCCCTCTTCCCCACTGCTTCCCCTTCAGATGGCAAGAAGAAGGGTGACAGTGGCAGTGGCAGTGGCGGCGGCGGCGGCAGTAGTGGTGGTAGCAGCCGGCCACCAGCCCCCCAAGAGGACACAGCTTCTGAGGCAGGCACGCCCCAGGGAGAAGCACAGGCTCGAGATGACGGCGATGAGGAAGGGCTGCTGACACACAGCGAGGAAGAGCTGGTGAGGGCACAGGCGGAGGGGCTGGGACCGGGCTTTGCACTCCTAGTCACAGGAGGGTAGCAGAGGAAGGATGAATCCCTGAGCTGGTTCCTTCTTCCCAGGGGTTCTAGTCCTGTAAGGAAGAGGGGAAATGAGCAGGGAGTAGCTGCCTGTTTCTGCCACCAGTCAGAAGTTCCATGAGGGCTGAGACAGACCTCTTCTGAGCCCAGGGCCTGTTCTAGACCTGGTTTTCCACATGGGTTGGAGAAGGGAAGAGTCAGGGGCTCAGGGAGCACACATCGTCTGCAGAGTTTCAGGGAGCAGGACTGGGATTGCCTGGGGAAGCCACAGGAAAGTAGGTATCCATTATTCCATGTCAGGATTTTCTAAAAGCCATTGTCGCCTGAGCATGAAACAGATTGTGTCGTGAGGTAACGAGCTTCCTGTCTGTTACTGGAATTATTCACAGTGGGGCTGGGAAGCCATTTGGCAAGAAGCTTGTATTAAGTGGGAAGGTAGACCAGATTCTGAGTCTCTAAGTTATCTGTTGTATGCTTACTACTCGCTTATCTAGCAGACATTCACTGAGCACCAGGCCCTGGAGTCTACCCTTTCTAACTTCATTCAACCTTAACAACAGCCCTGCACTGTGCAAAGTGTTACTTTTCCCACATTTTACCCCATGAGGAAACTGAGGCTCAGAGGAATTCAGTAGCTTGCTTAGGACCATATAACTGATAAGGCTCAAGCCAGGATTGGAGCCCAGACTTCTTCACTGTGTCTGGAACTTTCTCCTTTTTATCACTGCTGGGTTCTGGTATGAGGACAGATGGGCTCATGGCCACGACACTTAAGCGGTCCTCCTCATGCCCAGCTGATGCTTCAACTTACTCTTTTGGGCGTAGTCGTCTTTATAAAGGCTTAGATGCCCCCAAAGATAGAGAGCTCACCAACCAGTCTGCTGGGCTTTTAGCCCGCTCTAGTCTGAGAAGGTCTTTCTATGCAGACACATGCCTCCTGTCGTGCCCAGAACTTCCTTGAATAGTCCCTTCTCCCTGAGACCACCCTGTTGGAACCCCAAGCCAGCCTTGTTTAGACTGGCCTCAGTCATTCCCCTTGGCTGTCCCTCCCGCTTTTTGAGTGTGGTCTCCAAATGTGCTCTTGGCCTCAGGGCAGGACTTGGAGCTTACAGTGAGTGATGTGTGGTCTCTTGTTGCCTCCTCCCTATCAGGAGCACAGCCAAGACACAGATGCGGAGGAAGGGGCCTTGCAGTAAGCAGGTATGGGGGTCCTGATGGGCAGTGGGTGAAGTGAAGTGGAGGGCATGTCATGAAATGGATTTGGCAGGATAGTGCTGTGCCCAGCAGTGATGGCCCCTTTGTCCCCAGGCATCTTGCCATGCCCTTTTGTGGTGGGGGCTTGGGCTATGGGAGCAGGAGCTATGGATGGACTAGCCAAGCCCTCCGAGCAGGAGCTCCCTCGGCACACTGAGCCGTGATGCCCATCTCCACTCTTGAGGGGCTCTGAGTCTGGTGGAGGAAGACAAACCATTATGACCCAGTATGAGCAGGATGATGGGCTAGAGAACTAGGGGGTCAAAAAGGTGTGTGGTGGAAGAGGTGAGGTGTAGCTGAACCTGTTCAGGATTGAGGGAGAAGCATGTGAGGAAACAACACCCTTTGCAGAGGCACAGAGCTTTGGCAGTCCTTGGGAAAGGCCCAGGAGCCTCCTGTGGCTGCAGTCCCAGCTCTGCATACCAAGGAGACGGAATTGCTCATCATCAGAGAGTGAGATTGTGCCAGGCTTAGGGACTGGGACTTGATCCTGTTGGCAGGAAATTCCCAGTGTGCCAGGCGCTGCCCCACAGATTGTGAGTATGCTGATGTAACAGATGTGGAAACAGGCACTGAAGGAGGCAGGGAGGTACCACATATTGCACAAGATCCCAAGATGGTATTTGGTGGAGCCTAGATTTGTGGTATGTGTGGCCTCAAAGCCCATTCTGGCCAGTGTTCACCCCCCTGCTCTGCCCCACCCTGAAGAAAGCCAGGCCACACCAGCTCTGCCAACTCTGCCCCATTCCTTTGGGGGCCATGTTCAGATTAAGAAAGGCTTGGGTGGAGGAAAGCCTCAAACAGAGGTGTCTTTTCACATGACACATTCATGCTGTGAGATGCTCTACCGGCAGGGGCTTCCCATACAGTTAAGTGTAGGAAATTCTGCATATGCAGTCTTTACTTTTGGAGCTTCTTGGTTTGTTTTACCAGGAATACTAAGCTTTACCTTGTTAAACCAGTTTGCAGGTGAAGTACGGGGGCTCAGATAGGAAATGGAGGCTCAGAGAGAGGGAGAGATTTGGCCAACAGTACATGACCAGAAAATTGTGAGGCCAGAGCCAGAGGGCAGGCATGTGCATCTGCAAATAGCAAACACTGTTCTGTCCTGTCTTCTTCCCAACCCGTTATCAAGAGCCACAGGGGACTTTTCCTCTCAGCCTTAGTCTCTCCTTTGTCTCTTTCTCAGCCTGACAGGAGTGATGGCTACCGGCAGGACAAGGGCGTGCGCTGTACCAGACCTCAGGCTGGGCACCTACCCCTGGATGCCACCCCAGCAGGTCCCAGAGGAGAGTTGGCAGCAGGCACCCCACGCATCCCACATCCTCTGCAGGTGGAGTTCTCGGCCTCCCCTCCTTATGTACCCTCCCTGCTGTCACTGCCCAGGCCAGAGGGCAGAGCACCGAGGTTTCCCCACACTCTGCCTCCCCTCCCCAGGACATTCCCAAGCTTGGGGTTTTTCTATAGGTTTGGAGAGGGGGGGCCACAGGGAGGGGACCCTGACAATAAAGAGATTGGATCCCAACTTGCTCTGAGATGGGATGGTTTTTTTTTTCATGAAGGTATGCTGGCCCTCCAGCCCAACCAGAAAGCAGATCTGCTGCTGCTGCTTCTGTTCCCTCCTTCATGCTTACCTTCCAGGGACCATTGTCTGGGGTGCCTATACTGATTTCACTCACACACACACACACACACACAAAATCTTAATTTCCGCAGCTAAAATGGGGGTAGAGATGGTCCAGTGGGGTTGTTGGAGGAAGGTTAGATGTGTCAGTGTTCATGAGAGCACCTTGGTGGCTGAAGTGCCCAGTGATTGTGACCTACTTGGTCAGGCAGTTGTAGGTCCTCAGCTTCCAAATCTGGGCTTTCCCAACTCTAACATGATTCTGGAACCTGCTGTTTTTTCCCTCTTTTCTGTCCTGGTTTAGAACACTTTTTTCACTCAGCCTTCCTTGTCTCAACAGCCTCCCAGTCTCCAGCTTTTCCTGCACAGTTTCCCACCGGCCATGACAGTGTCATTTCTGAGTTGTGCACCTTCCCTGCATAAAACCCTTTTCTGACTGACTTTTCACCGTCAGGAAAAACCAGCTTCTGGGGTTTTGATCCTGCCTGCCCTGGCCTCCCCTGTTCTTCTGTTACACCTGTCTTTCCTGCCCCCCAACACAAACCTTACACTGCAGCCATGCAGAACAAGTCCTTTATCCTCATAGGCAGCAAAGAATAGAGCCCCACTCCAGTTAACCTCACGCAGCAGGAGGTTGACATCAGAATGTATGTGGCCTCTCTGCACCTGTCTGGGGCCACCTGTCTAGACATTTGCTTTGTTCTCTAATTGGCCAGGTTCCTTCAAACTTCCACTTCTGTCCTAACCTTACCATCCCCCACTCCCGTCTTTTATTCCCCACCACAAATGGACCAATTTCTCCACATTCAAGTTCCCAAGAGAGAATCAGCTGCCACAGCAGATTTTTTTTAAGTCACTCCTAAGTTACAAGTACCTTCTCTGGCCCAGTGAACTGGGTGTACAGGTGTGGTTACTGTGGCTGGTCTTATTGGTGTGGGGCTGTGGATGGCTAGGCACCCACAGACATAGTTCGCTGCAAGCCCGGCACATGCTCTTGATGCTACTTTCTCCACCTGGGAAGTAGTCACTTATCATTAAGCTGTTGTTGTAGTGTCACCAGCTCTGAGAAGTCTCCCTGACCAGCCTGCTCCTCTTCAAGAATTGTTCATTCTCCCCTCTGGGCAGCCTTCCTCAACACAGGAAATTCAGTTCCATCATCAGAAAGGGGTTTGGGATCTTTTCCTCCATCCTTACGTGTCCTCGAAGTCTGCAGACATGCTGGAATCCTTATTGAAAATCCCCAGTTTCAAACCAACAGTTCTACACGTAGCCTCCACCAAACCTCCCCCTGGGCTTTTGGCTCCAGGTTTTGGTGGAGGATGGAGGCTGGGCTTGGGATGATGCTCAGGCTCCCCTGAGTATGGTAACCTCCAGGGATGGCTTTATTGTCTCGTGTTTCCCTTCCCAGGCAGCCCTCCTCCCTGCCATTGGCAGGCCAGCTGTCTGAAGCCCTAGTGTGGCTCTGCGTTTCCAAGCTATGCAAGGAGCCTGACTAGCCAGCAGCAAGGCAGCCAGAGTTCTGGACTCACAGCTGAGCCAAATGCCCCCATCCCTGCTTGGCCATTGCCTCTTAATATGATTTGAAGCAATATTTCTGCCTCTTGGGGGCTTCAGCTGCCCAGTGGGATCACAGCCCCACATGTCTGCAGGAAAGCAAGGGGAGAAAGGATGGAGGCTGAGGCCTTTAGTCTGAGATTCAGACCTGGGATAAAAAATAGCCCCTTGGAACTGGGCTGGGCCCTGGCCCAGCTTGGTAAAAACAAAAGACTTCAGTCTGAAGAGATGAAGATGGTGTCCTGAGGAAGGTACTTGGTCCACAGGGAGTGGCCTATGCCCCCTGAAGAGCCCTCAGTGGAACACACTCCTTCAATTCTTAAACCGACAGTCTTTGCTTTCCAGAAGGCCAGAGCCCAGCTCTAGCAGAACTGCTTGCATAAGTAGGCAGGTAGGTGTTCGTGTCCCCACTTATACAAGGTGATGAACCACTACCCTGAACTGGAGGTTGGGTAAAGTCTAAAGGGGTTTTGGAGCCTGATGAACCCCACACTGAGGGCTGACACTGTTCCTGTGTCTTCAGAGCTTAGTGCTATGTGCCCATTGCACGGTAATAACATTTCCAGACTCTACAAACTCACTACTCAGTAATACTTGGCTGAGGCACTGTTCAGAGCCGGGAGGACAGGTAGAGAGCAGCAGGGGCGATGGGCTTCCATAGTATGTCAGACTTCAAGGGCCCTGAGAAGAGCAAGGAATTCCAGGGCAGGAAACATCTCCCCAACCCAGAGGCTCTGCCTAACCACCCTGGCACCAGAACATGTCTTGGACAGTGAGAATGGGATCCCCATCCTGGCACCCAAGAAAATCACCTGAACTACTTCAGCCCCCAGGAAAGCTCACAGTTGGACCCTTGAATGGGATGTTCATATCCAGAAAACCCTGCATACATATGCCTGCCCTCCCCATGTCTGGGGCCAGGAAAGTCATCTCTCATTCCATTACGCAATGGTTTTCATTTTTCTGTCCAACTGAAAACCAAAATGTTTTCAAGATCTGAAACCTCATTTATGATCCTAGCAGCCATCGTGAAGGAATATCTCAGCCAGTGAGTGGTTTTACTGGATTGTGCTAAAACTTTCCCTGCTGTACTGCTGCAATAAGGTTTGTGCCCCTGGGTGTCTTTTTCCTTGCCAGGTCTCATTTTTCTCATCTTTATGAGGGGTTGACCTAGATCAGGGATAGTATGGCCTTATATCAGTTATTAATTGTAAAACAACCACCCTGAAATACAGTACCTTTCATAAACATTTATTAACTTCAGATTCTGTGGCTTGGCAATTTGGACTGTGCCTTCTTATCTGGGCTCTCATGTGGCTGAAGTGAGCTGGCAGATCGGCTGGGGATTGATGTGTCCCAGATAACCTCACCCACTTGTCAAGTGATTGGCTGGGCAACTGAGTCACATGTTCCCAGCATCTAGCAGGCAGGACGGAAGCCCTGATACGCAAATGCTCTTTAAGCTCCTGCTTCTGTCATGTTTGTAAGGTTCCATCATTGGCCAGAGCAAGTCTGGCTAAGCCCAAATTCTGCTTAATTTGAAGAACTTCAAAAATATGGCCATAATTTGTTTTTGTTTTTTTAAAGATTTTATTGGGGAATTGGGGGAGGGGAACAGACAAGTTGCTGTCGTTTTGTTCTTCAGTCTAATTGTGGAGGACTTCGCTCACTGGCCCATGTTGGTATTATCATTACGCTCTTCCCAGGTGAGGCAGATTGGTCGCCGGCCTCTGAACAGCCGCTCACGGTGGCTCTTGGCAGCTCACATTGGCTGCCGGCCACTCACAGTAGCTTATGGCAGCCCACTGTAGCAGGGGCTGCAGCCTACGCTGTCGCCGGCAACTCACGGCAGCCCAACTCCAGGTCGAGGTGTTGTTCACCATCTTAGCTGTAGAGGGCAGTGTCACTGGTCCTCGTGGGATCCGAACTGGGGCCCTGCTGCTCAGAGCTTGCGTCCCAAGCCAGCTCTTAACCAACACGCCACTTGGCCGACCCCATAATTTGTTTTTAATCTATCTCAGGCCTCATTTCACTTGTTGCTTCAGAACATTTAGTAGCAGCTATTGGAGCACTTTGAGGATTTGGAACAGTTTTTAGACTATTAGGAAATAGTAACATGATAGTTTGGTCTTTTTTTTTTTTTTTTTATTGGTAAGGAATTGAAGTGTGGGTATGTGTCAGGTGTTAGCCAACAATGGCCAGGTCAAGTTCTGTCCCATAAGGACATTATCTACTATGCTGATACCACAGAAATACAGACGTTAGAGCAGGGCCAAAGCTTCTGAGAGGTGTCCTGGGTTTGAATCCCACTTGGGCCATTGATTAACTTCGGGTAAATCAAAATCCTTTCACCTGTGGCCACATTCTTCATAATAAAATTAACCCATAACAATAGTAAACCTGAATATGTGCTATGTAAAAGGCACTTTTTACACTTATTTAATTTCACAACCACCCTTTAGGTGGATGTAGTGTAAACTTTTGGTTACAAGTTATAAATAAACTCAAACTTCCTTAAGAAGGAGGAAATTTAGTTTTATAAATTGAAAAGTCCAGGGCCTGAGGGTGGAGGCGGAGCAGGAAGAATCCCCAAAAGGGAAATACGAGTTCTTTTGATGAAAGAAAGGAGGCTTGGACTGACAGAAACATGTCTTCATTGTGCCCATTTTATAGATTTTACAAATATAGAGGTTCTAAAACATGGCCTCATCAATGAGTGGTGTCTATATCCTCTCCCATTTATCTGGACTCTGATCAATATAACACAGTGATGGTGATGCTATCTCAGTCTCTCAGTCCTGTTCTTAAAAACTAACAGTATCCACTTCTGTCTTGGGACCTAGCCACCACGCTGTGAAGCCCAGGCCACATGGAGTGGCCATGTGTGCATGTTCCAGCTGACAGCCAGAATCAACTGGCAGACATGAGTGAGGAAGCCTTCAAGATGACTTTAGCCCAGCCACTGTCTGTGAGAACTGAGTAAGAACTTCTTTGCTGACCCCCATCAAAGCCAGCACCAGGAAGGATAATAATCAAATGATTGTTATAAGCCACTAAGTTTTGGAGTGATTTATTATATATCAATAGAACACAAACTGAGACTCAAAGATGTTACATAGCTTGCTGTACTTTAGGGAGACTGGGTTAAGAGTACAGACTTTGTGTTGAACTCAGTTCCTTTCCAGACTTGGTTGTGTGACCTTAGGCAAGTCACTTAACCTCTCTGAGCCTCATCTTCCTCACCCGAAAACCAGAAAAGAGCACATCCTTATATAACAGTACTTAATAAATGAGAGCACTTATCATTACCTAATCCAGATTCAGGTAATTTTTATCTTAAAAATAACAGAC